CAGGAATTTAGCAGACTCAAACATCACAAGGCTGTGGAGATTCGACACATAATGTGAAGATATTTTCTCCAAAGTTTACCGACACGGACAGAAGTGAGTTAGATTGTAGCAAAAAATTACCGACGGTCGTACTGAAGCAGAAACACGTCTAATGTCTATTTTCCATTGAAACTTTTAACTAGATCAGTCGGATAACAAAACGACAAAATTAACGATACAATATAGGTAAGTGTGTAGTAATACCATTATGGCACGGCTCCTGGAGTTTGGGAGCTCTTGCAGGAACTTCTCAAATGCTTCTAGTCTGACTCTACCTTTTATCTCAAGCAGCACTGGCCACTCTCCAGCACTTGTCTTTTCCCCGCTGTAACAGTGAAATTCACAACAGGAAGAACCAATCAGAGTTGATACAACACTTTTTTGCTTTTATTGAAATTAGGAAAGACCATATACCAACATGGATAATATCAAGTGAGCTGAATTAACAAAGCAATTTGTGTAAAGAAGACATTTAGAAAGCTACACCCAAATGATAATAGAGATGCAAATAGACACATAATTTTGGGGAACAGATAAATACATAGTAAAGTACATAGATACGCTGGCAAACAATCATGGGACGATAGTTTACATACCTTCTGAAAATGCCAACGACAGAAGTCACGGAAGAGACACTCAGCTGGAATGAACCTTCCCAGACACGTTCACCCGCAGGTATGGTGATAGAAGTTGTAACATCAGTAGATGGTTTCAAGGAACCAGTGTCGGTGTTCCCCGGCTTAACCGGGGATGTACCAACACAACCATTTGGACTTTGTTTGGGTGAAATCGAAACTGAACTCGTCTCTGCGTCGTTCTTATCTGATCCAGGCGTTTCTTTCCCAGCATCAGTGGATAAAGACTCAGATGGAAGATCTGAATCTAGAGAGACCATGAATTCGTCGAGAGAGACAATTGGAGGGAGAGACCCTGTAGCATCCTTCATCTCATCATCCACTGTGATCACTTTTGCTGGACCACTAGATACATCAGAGGGGATTGCAGGAGCAGAAGAATTTCTCTTTCTGATGATAGAAGAGGATTTCTTCTGACTGTACATCAGTGAACTCAATCCAACAGAAACCTCAACTGAGCCACTATCCATCGGTTCGACTTCCACTTGAAATTCACCTTTATGTGTTTTCCGCACCAAACATCTGATATCAACCTGAGTATCTGGCAGAACCACCATTTGAGCCATCTCTTCTGCCTTTGCTTGCCGCCACTCTGCAAGCTCCTTAGAAGCAAGTTCCTCAGCTGACATCGAACACAATCGCTCAGCTGGAATTTCTCCATACATAACCTTCTCCCTGAGCTCAGGATTGCTCTTATCTTTCAAATTGAATATAAGAGACCTTCCTTTCTCTTTATATTTTTTATTCACACCACCAAATAGCTTGAAGAGTTCTGCCTCAATTTCAAAAGCCAACAGCTGTGGATCAAGTATCGGTTTTTCCTTAATTCTTCCCTGGCTTCCATTTTCAGCAGCCAGAGCTTCAGTTATTTTAGTTTGACTATTTTCACTAAACTCTACATCTGAATCAAGCATCCAAGGGAGATCATTTCCTTGCAAAAGATCATCTTTTGAAAAGACATTGTCGCTATAAGAAACATTGTCCTTTGGAAAAGGATTAACAAACTGAGAATCTTGCGTGTCACCATCTTTGGCATCCTCTGTCTTATCAAGTGTTGAAATATTAGGTAACACAGTTTCCTTCAAGCCCACCTTCTGAACTGAGAGTCCAATGTCATGGGCTCTTGTTGGTGTGCTGTCAATAGGTAACATAGCATTAACTCCAGCTGCAGCTGAAGTGGGATCACCGATTTGAAAGCCCAAATGAAATTTGCGAGCAGTCTGACTCTGGAAGGATTTCAGCATTGTTGGAGAGTCACTGTGTACCAAGGATAGAGCACCTGCTAATGATTCTCTCATTTTGCACCTCAGAGACTCGGATGATTCATTTTGAGGTTTTGGTGGCAGTTGTTTCTGTGCATTTTGTTTCCTAGGAGCAGTTTGCTTCGCTGATTTATTACCAGTAACAGATTCCAACTGCACAGTCTTCTTACTCAATGCTGGTAAGTACTGAGTCCTTGGGGAAAGAGAAGATGCTAGCACATGTCCTTTATTCAGTTCATAAGTCCCTTGCGACCATGGTCGGGGATCACTGGAGGCCATTCGTTTATTTGGCACTGACAACAGCTTCGCAACACTCCTGTTGGACATAAACTCCATTGGAGATTTCCGTTTACTTGGCAGCTGGGCTGTACTGTTCTTGGTTGACAAAGATCCTGCAGCAGGGTCACAAGGCACGAATGGTGACTGCACCATTACATTATGCTCCTGCTGTTCAATTAAAACTGGCTGTGGAGGTGCCTCTGAATAACTAGAGATCAGGTTTGACGATCTTACAACCATGTTTGGACTTGAAACACGTTCTGAAGGAGAGATACTGATGCATGGAATCATAGGACCTACTTGCATCTTTGCAACAGGTAAGTGATGGAGCAAGGATCCCATCATAGCCATTTGCAAAGGCGGGTCCATTTTCCCGGAAATTGTCCCCAGCTCACCCTGGGCACTCGCAGGTAATTGCTGAGATATAAGATTGTTGGACATGGCAACATGAAATATCAACAAAAAAGGCTGCAAAGTGAATAGGAAAAGATCAGTCAGATGGCAAAACATATCAAACACAAAAGGATTCATAAATGATAGTATACAACCAGTCAAAATCACCCATTGAACAAAACCTAACAAGGAATTCACGTAAAAAGCTGCAGGGCCGATATAATTCATGGGGACAATCCGAAAGTATCCATTAAATTCATAATTTTCCACAAAAAAAATTCTGGGCCAAAAATCAATAATAAGCATTTTACATTTCCCACAGAGGATACCACCAGAAACTGATAGGCTGCTCAATAGTGTAATCCACCTAAAATCAACTTCCTAAGTAAAGCATACACATTCAAACTCAATACTGTTAACCCACGAGTAAGAAACGTTCGATCTAAAGAGCTAAATCGCCAACCCATGACTACATCTCATTTGTTAAACCCTTCTTTTTCGATTCAGAAATTTCAAAAATGTGCGATTAGGGTAAGCGCAAAAGATGCGAAAATACACACAAGCAATAAAAAATCAACTTGGCGAGGATCGTACTCCACAAAAGCAAGAAGGGAAAAATGGTAGCCACAACGAAGAATAAATCAAATGCGACAACACAAAGCCAGAGACCCCATGGTAAACGATTTCTCAGTCGGATAAGTATATATACCTGATCCAATATCCGAAGAACAGATCGCCAGCGAAAACAGATAGAGAGAACAAGCCCGATGAGAGCTGTAACATGCAACGACGATTAGTAAACGCGAGAACCATTGGAGAGAGGAACTCATAAATATATTGCGAGAACCAGAAAACCCTAGGAACTTAAAAGAATAGAGGGCTCCGATGCTCGACACGTGTTATAAAATAACCTCCCATATCGGTAAATACTCGTTTTGGGTAGGAGTCTCGATTTGGGTCCGAAAAAAAAAATCGGCCCAGTCCGAAAAATAGTAGGATTCGGGCCGAAATTTTTTGGTCCCAAAAAAAATCGGATTTTCGGTTCGGGTTCAGATCGGGCTTCAAGTTCGAGTCGGGTCGGTTCGAAAGTCCAAAAATTTAAACATTTCTCCATCAGGCATCGCTCGCCATGCCACCGCATATACAATGCTGTCTTCTCGGATTGATATAACATTTTCAAACGATCTGTTATAGGCATGTAAAACATTCTCTTCAAAGGAATTAACTTGTCTTTCTTTGAAAAAATCTGACGTGGTCGATATCTGTCTTTCCCGCATAAACGATATTCCATCAATTCTGCATCTCTTTCCAGAAAATTATACAGTTGTCTTCACAAAAATCAATCTTTCGATAAGGTAGACCCAACGTACGCATCAGACTCTTCGTCTCATAATATGATTATGTTTTAGTGTTACCTTATGGAAGATATTGTTTAAACATCTGACTGAATCCATTCATGCACCTCTCCAGAAGATTGTAGTTAGTCTTCATACTCATCAGTTGCGAAGAACGATAATCTTGAAAGCCCTTGTACGCAACCTTCATATTTCGGAGTATTCGCCGTATAAAGCATGTCATAAAATCTTTTCGCTTCATCATTTTGTAAAAACTTTATATTGATGGTTTTCGATAACTTTATGAAAACTCACCAAAAACTGGATACGGTTTTTGCATAATTCACACAATTCGAAATTAATATACATATCGGATAAGAATTATACCTGAATCCATTTTGCAGCGGAATAACTTTGAAGAACAAACTAAATCGTTTGTTGTTTGTTTTCTCTCCTTTCTCCTTAACTTTGATAGATTTTTTATGGATAAAAATATGAACCAAATGTCCACTATTTATAGGGTAAGGAGAGGAGAATAAACTTAAATACCCATAAACTTCAACACCATAATAAACTCATTTCCATCATTGTAGTCAAGATCATATTGAAGTTTAAAACACAAAATTACATGGGCCATTAAAATGTTATATTTCCAACATTCTCCCACTTGCCCCTTGTGATGATTTGATGATCTACAATCTTTAAACGCGTACTTTTATATTGTATTTATCAGTCATCGATAACTTTTATTTGAACAACAAACGATTGAATCTTGGCGGTCATACATCATTTTATTTGAATATGATTCATTCCAAGTATCACAAGCGTTTGTCATCCACAACCTCTTTTATGGCCAGAAGTAACTATAGAACAATAATGCATATTATCTTTATCAATTTCATATGTACACAAATAATTTAATGATAATATGACTTTCAATAACAGAAACAAGACTTTATTGAATTCAAAATATCATATATAATGAGCAATTATTTAAATTACAGCAACGACTTATCTATAATGCTCATACGATCAACATGAGCCTTAAAAGTCTTAGGCGGCAGTCCCTTAGTTAATGGATCCGCTATCATAAAATCAGTACTGATATGTTCAAATGATACTCTTTGTTTCTGCACTTCTTCTTTGACAGATAAGTATTTTATCTCCATATGCTTAGCACCTTTTGAGTACTTATCATTTTTCGAGAAGAAGATAGCTGCGGAATTATCACAGTAAATTCTCAGCGGCCTAGCTATAGTGTCGACAATCCTAAGCCCTGAGATAAAGTTCCGCATCCATAAACTGTGAATGGTAGCTTCAAAATATGCTACAAACTCAGCTTCCATGGTGGAAGCAGCGATGACAGACGGCTTTCCACTCCTCCATGATACTGCTCCTCCGGCAAGTAGAAACAAATATCCAAAAGTCGATTTTCTGGTATCAACACATCCAGCATAATCTGAATCTGAATAACCAATGACTTCCAGATTATTTGATCTTCTGTATGTGAGCATATATTCTTTGGTGCCTTGCAAGTACCTTAGAACTTTCTTTGCAGTTTTCAAGTGATTCATTCCAGGATTACTCTGGTACCGACCTAACATTCCAACGGCAAAGTTGATATATGGTCGAGTACACGTTTGAGCATACATTAAACTCCCAACCACTGATGCATAAGGAATATTTTCCATTTCCTTTCGTTCTAATTCATTTTTCGGACATTGTAAATTACTGAACTTGTCCCCTTTCTGAATTGGAACCTTTACTGCAGAGCATTTATCCATTCTGAATCTTTCTAATATTTTGTTGATATAACCTTTCTGAGACAATCCTAGCAATCCTTGTGATCTATTTCAGAATATTTCTATTCCTATCACATAGGATGCCTCGCTCATATCTTTCATATCAAAATTCTTAGAAAGAAACACTTTTACATCATGTAAAATTCCCATGTCATTTGCAGCAAGTAAAATATCATCAACGTATAAGACTAAAATCGCATACTTACTCCCACTAACTTTCATGTAGATACATCGATCAACGATATTTTCTACGAAGCCATAAGATGTAATAGTATTATTAAATTTAAGATACCATTGTCGAGAGGCTTGTTTTAGTCCATAAATTGATTTTCTCAGCTTACACACTAAATTTTCTTTTTCCGTGGGTATAAATCCTTCAAGTTGATCCATATATACTTCTTCCTCTAGATCACCATTCAAAAAAGCGGTTTTAACATCCATTTGATGAAGCTCTAAATCATAATGAGCAACTAAAGCCAATATAATTCTCAAAGAGTCTTTCTTAGAAACCGGAGAGAAAGTCTCTTTATAGTCTGTGCCTTCCTTTTGGGTATAACCTTTGGCAACAAGTCGGGCTTTATACCTTTCGATATTACCACGTGAGTCAAGCTTGGTCTTAAAAACCCATTTACAGCGACTTTCTTTGCACCTTCCGGTAAATCTACTAAGTCCCAGACATTATTATCGTTCATGGATTTTAATTCTTCTTTCATGGCATCAAACCATTTTCCAGAATTACAACTATTCATGGCTTGTTGAAATGTAGACGGATCATTATCAATGCTTAAGTCACATTCATATTCTAGAGCATAAACCACATAATCATCTGAGATCGCAGATCTCCTTTCCCTTTCAGATCGTCTCAAGATGATCGGTGGTTCATTAATCTCCTCTGGTACCGTGACTGGTTCATTAATAATGCTTTCATTATGTGGGTTTTCGACATGCTGTTGTTGTACTCGAATATCACGAGACGTTGATGTGAATTTCGGTACAAGAACAACAGAAGGGATATCCGGTGTGAAAACGTTATCTCGAATCTCTTCTATGTCAACTCTTCGTGATTCATCACTCCCACTGATTTGACCATTTTCAATGAACCTTGCATTGCCAGTCTCCATAATTCTCGTACTATGGTTAGGACAATAAAATATAAATCCTTTAGACTTTTCTGGATAACCAATGAAAAATCCACTGATTGTCCTAGGATCAAGCTTCTTTTCATGTGGATTGTATACTCTTATTTCTGCTTGGCAACCCCAAACATGCAGGTGTCTTAAACTCGGTATTCTTCCTGTCCACAGTTCATAAGGTGTTTTAGGGATTGCTTTGCTAGGAACACGATTAAGCAGATAAGTTGATGTTTTTAATGCATACATCCACAATGAGAGAGGTAAAGAGCTATTACTTATCATGCTCCTAACCATATTCATTAATGTACCAAATGTAAAAAACTTTATATTGATGGTTTTCGATAACTTTATGAAAACTCACCAAAAACTGGATATGATTTTTGCATAATTCACACAATTCGAAATTAATATACATATCGGATAAGAATTATACCTGAATCCATTTTGCAGCGGAATAACTTTGAAGAACAAACTAAATCGTTTGTTGTTTGTTTTCTCTCCTTTCTCCTTAACTTTGATAGATTTTTTATGGATAAAAATATGATCCAAATGTCCACTATTTTTAGGGTAAGGAGAGGGGAATAAACTTAAATACCCATAAACTTCAACATCATAATAAACTCATTTCCATCATTGTAGTCAAGATCATATTGAAGTTTAAAACACAAAATTACATGGGCCATTAAAATGTTATATTTCCAACACATTTTGCTCTTCCTCCATATACGGAGAAGGAGCAATGTTGGGAAATATATCATTCACCATCTCTGCATATGGATTCCTTTCTTCTTCTTGAAAGATTGTAGGTTGCGTCGTATTTTGCACAAGTTGTTCTTGCATTTGTGGAACATGTGATGATGATGTATCATACGTTTCTCCATGAGTCAGTCAAACAAAATAGTTTGACATAAAACCTCTTCTATAGCGTGCTTCCACAATTCATACTGACTTTGCCATCTTTTATTCTCATATTTTGAACACAGACATGGTAACTTCGAACTCTCAACATACGACGTTTGATTTATTGCAAACGCCATAAAATGTTCTAACCCTTCCTCAAACTCACGCGAGATTTGATTATTATTAGAAGAATCAAATCTATTATACATCCACATTCTGGAGGATTCTGGAGGAGAAAGATACTTTTTTTGGAAACGAATATTTTTTTTTACAACTCGAGTAATGCACACACAGTTGATTTATAGCACAAATATTGCGACGGATTTTACGACAGACACATCCGTCGTGACATAATTGCGACAAAATCCTGATAGATTAGCGATAGAAGTTAGGACACACGAATCACGTGCCTAACTAGTAACTAACTTCGCGATGCATTGCAACTGTCGCAAATAATGTGTCGCAGAATTGTCACGACACACCGATTTTGTCGTAAATGTGTTGTGCATGTGTTATGACAGATATTTCTGTCGCACAGTGTGTCGGTAAGTACTGATAGACAGCGTGTCGCAAAATTTCCGTAGCTTTTCTATCGTTATTTATCGCTAATATATCCGAATAACACATGTGACGCTCACCGTCGTAAATGTTGCGATCGTTTTTTGCATCCGATTGCGACAGAAGTTCGATTTCGCTATTCTGTCGCTGTTCATTCTCTGTCTATCGCAAATTTTGTTCCGACAGAATTGTCCATCGCAACATCTATCGTAAATAACAGTTTTTCTTGTAGTGCAAACTTCTCACCACCTATGATGCCTTCCTTGTAGGCTCCCATATATCAAAATGTACATAATCCATAATACCTTATGTATTGTAGATAGTCGTTTCAAACTTTACCTTTGATTGTTTTCCAAGAACACAATGCTCACAAAACTACAATTTGCATATCCTTACTCTTTTCAGCACATCTTGTTTGACGAGACTCTGCAAAGCCTTCTCTACAGGATGTTTCAGACGCATATGCCATAGTTTTAGTGACTTCAGAATCCTGATCTTCCCCAACCGTAACAACAATTGTTTCAATAAACGTACTACCTTAGAAATAATATAAATGGTTCATTTTTACTTCTTTTAAGACCACCAATGCACCAAAAACAATTTTAAAAATTTTATCTCGAATAGTCACAATATAATTTTTAGATTTCAAGGTTCCCAATGAGATGAGATTCTTCTTCGAGTTTGGTACATCTTGAACTTCCGTCAGAATTCTTATTGTTTTATCATGATACTTAGTCGGATTGAACCTATATCATTTGCTTGTAGAGTATCATTATTGTCCATGTAAACAACTCCACCTAGTTCTTCAAAATTGAAGAACACTCTTTGTTGAAACGCATATGGTAGAAGCAATCTGAGTCTATAATTCACTCATCAAATTGAGACTTTAACGACATGTCGATCAATACAAACTCTAACTCACCATCTTCAAGTTTGGCAACACAGGTGTCTGAAGTCGAATGGTAAACCACATCAATGGCGCCCAAAATATGGAAAACTCCATCAGATAGGAAGAGCAAGAGAAACTTCCCATGTTCATGACTTGTTAGGGACCAAAATCTTAGATTTATCCTCCAAATACCCAACCGAGCCCAAATTGTTTGCATCGACGATTTCGACGACATTGAATTTTTTCGACGGTGGGCATGTTAGTCTCTCTTCAACCTCCGATCTAGGTTCCAATGTTGGTTGTAATGCTCTACGATGATCCGTGATATGACATTTTGACTATGTATTGATTCATTGGTTTATGAATGCATTACTTTTCCCGTTATATGATTAGCATGTTTGTTATATTACGGTAAATATCCTTGAATCATTGCAGATGATTCTAAATTTCCTGGTCAGTTATCATTGTGGGAACAATGATGAATTAAGACCAGCATGATGTGTGATAGATGATTATGATCATATGCATTAGATGCAAGTCACAATCATGGGTTCTCGTTTGGAACGAGTTACTGGATGACCCGCATGAGATTGTCACATGGACATGAGTCATGACTTGAATCTCATACAGCGGTTCGTTCTTGGATCCTCAGACCTGAGATGTCTAGAGTATCTGATATGAGGAGTGACGTGTCTTGACTGCGTCAAACGTCGTCTTTAACCGGATGATCATAACGGCGTTGCTCAGATACGTTCACGAATCATATGCAGATAGTAGACATGCAATACGGGACTTGTCACCTCCTACGCAGGAGAGATGTCGCTGGGCCCCTCGTGGAAATCGTACTGTGAAAATGCGTGGCCACGCTATAGATGAATGTACATCTATTTTATCAGTCGGTTTGCCTAGACGAGTAAGCGGTTGAACTTGAAGGGTGGCTCATACCATGCCCTTGTTCAACATATGACATCGTGAGACAAAGGATCAGAACTCGAACTATTGCTGGCTTTGTTAGATCACCTCTAACTCTATTCTAGGTGGGTGGTCATGGCGTCTTGCTAGAGGCTAACCATGACTTGTGGTTCGGGAAAGGTTTCCGAAGCCACTGCCACTTCGAATGGGCCTACAGGGTCACACACCATTAGGGATGGATCACACGTGAAGAGAACAACGCGAGAAAAGAACAACGGAGCGATCTGGAAGAGTTCCAGATGGCCAGACCGTCCGTTCCAGTGGAGAACAGACGGACCGATCCGCAAGCACCAGACCGTCCGGTCCAGACCTGGACCGTCCGGTCCAGAGGTGCAGACCGTCCGTTCCACGTAGAAATATGGACCGTCCGTTCTGCGTAGAAAGTCGGACCGTCCGTTCCAGGCCTGGAACGGACGGTCCGACTTACGGGCAGTTTTCGGTTTTCGCGTTTTAAGGGTTTTGGGCAATTCTAATTAAAGAGAGAGCCGCCACAAACCCTAGAGAACGAACCTCAGACGTCCAAGACACTCATGAGAGCTTAGAGAAGCTTGATTTTGAGTTCTAGTGATTGGAATATCGATTCCAAGTCAAGGACATCGGTTTTTCTCTTCACGAATCCTAGCAGATACGTTCCAAAGCGTTGGAATTCATCCCGCCGGTGTGGATACGTGTAGAGGAGTTGTGCTTTCAACTCTCGGTGATTAAAACAGGCCCTGGATCGATTGATACTTCCAGATCTTGAAAGAACGAGGTAAGTATTCGAATCCCACGACGATATACACGATTGTTCGGGTTATTGCACAATTGGTTTTTGTGTGACGTTTGGCTAGGTTTAGATCTTTCCTTCCGCTGCATGAAACCTAGAAACCAAACCCTAGATCGATGAGATCGCATGCTAGGAACCCGAAGGGAACCCCAACATCCAATCTGTTTATTTCTTTTTCTTGGATTATTCAGTGAGGATTCTATATACTCAAATGCTCGAAACTTTTACATAGATTTGTTGAAAAATACTGATTCTTTTACTTTCTTGACTTGATTTAGATCATGCTTAGGTTCACTAGTGTTATTTGTTGGGCTAGTCCAAGTTCAAATTGCGTTCAAGTTTCAGAGCTAAAGCAGGTTTTAGTAGAGAAAGCCAAAGCAGAGATGTGTTTAACCCATTGAAATTATAGGTACGTCCATTTAATTCTACATATCTAATTAACCATTTCAATTGGATCAATAAAATCATAATCGATTTCATTCTAACCAAATAATATATAACAAATGAATCTAAAAATCATAACTGATGTCTTTGGTTGCATTAAATACACAATTACATATAGAATCAATATCAAAGGTTTAAGAAATCCGGGATATGATCTGTTCTGAGAGTGCCTTGCGTATTGTATAACATCGCAGGTGGAGGGCATCAAGGAATCACCACAATGATGGGTCAGGACACGGCAGGTCCAGTTCGTGCAGCAGATCCTGGAAGAAAAGAAGCCACATGACAAGCATGAATATGAAAGAAAAGGATCATGGTTCTTTTTTCTCAGTTGTTCCTCTCTATGGAGCCGATCTCGAGACTTATTTTACAAGAAAATTTGTGATTTTCTAGGTTTTTGTATCTAAATCTATCCCTTCTTTGATGATCAGAGTACACAAGCTGAGTCCTTGGAGAGGTCTAAAGCTGCATTTCAGGAATATGTAATAAAACTGTCGTGACCATTTCAGATTTCAGTTCGGGCTCAATTATTTCGGTTGTAGAAAAAATAACCGTTCGGTTTTTATATAAACTTCGATTCATTTCGGTTTAGATTCGGATTTTTTGTTGTAAAAAACTCATTTTTCAAAGAAATTGTCGATTTTTCCAGTTATAATTTTTAATCGGTTCGATTCGGTTTCATTTTTTTTGGATTTAGAAAAATCACAACTGTTCGGTTTTTATGTCGAATTCGGTTTGGTTACGGTTATATTTTATTACACATTCGGTTATTCGGTTAATAATCAAAATGATCACCCTTTCTATACATTATTCTGAGTAAGAACTGGTTATTCGAATATGCTCTTTCAGCACCTTTCTCCCAAATCATGAAAAAATAATCTAAAGGAAGAAAAAAGGAGGAACTTTTGTGACCATGTTCTACGGTTAAAAAACAAAATTTGTAATTGACCCATTTCAGGATTTTATGTACTATAGTTGATTGAAAGAGTAGGGACCTGCCCAAGAGATTACCTTACTCGGTCACTCCTTTTGGTTCAGAGGTCTCTATAGCGGATTTCTGGCTACTGAGCCGCTCATTCTTCGCACATTCCTCCTGGAGGTAGTTTTTTTTTTTTTTTACAATATATAATCAGTTGAATCCCATAATAAGAAGATAGAGGGAAATTGTTGATAGAAAAAGATAAGTTGTTTCCCAGCCAAGTGCTTACCTGAAAAGCTCTTAGCACAGAATAGCACTGCCTTTGCTCGGCAACCACGGAAGCATACTTTTCTTTCAAAGTATCACGTAGTTTCTGCTTTTCCTGAAGCCTGATTTGTACCTTTTCTAGCTTCTGCAGAATAAATGCAGATGTTCGGAGCCATTTTTAGCTCAGCCCTTTTGTTTCGAAGGGTTCTACCACAAAAATTATACAGTTGGAATTGGGGGAAATAACTGAATTTCCCTGATTTTGTTTTCGCCATTTATCCTAACTGACATCTCCCCTCAACCGCAAACTGTACATAATCTATTTAATCGACAATGGCCGTCACAAGCTTTCGATTGCTCATCTAATCAGAAGAAATGGAGTGAAATATTGCTTCTATTTTGGCAACAGTGAGAGGGGCATGTAACCGGATGCAGGTTTGAAGAAAGGAAAAACCTAGAGAGCCTTCAGAGGTATCCCAATCTGGAATGTAACACAAATTACCTGTTGGATTCCCTTCATGACTCCTTCCATTGAATCAATTAGCTTCACAGGGCCAACAGGGCTCGCAATCACATCTTGAAACTGCTTCCAAGGGTCAACCCGTAATCATGGTGAGAACGAAGCACAAGGAATGACAGAAAATTCATCTAACAGAGAAAAAAATGGAATGAGAAAATGGGTAGGTAGAGTTGCAACCCCAAACATTTCTTCAGGCCATCTAAAAACGCCATTTTCGCCAGGCCATCTAAAAACCATGGCGAAGACTTGAAAATCCGCCACGCCATGGCGCCATGGCCGCTATTTAACAACATTGAGAATGGCACAAGTAACATAAGCTACAGAAAAACCAGCCCAGAACTAACAGATAGTTGTACCTGTGAACTTATTGAATTCAATAACGATGTCTCCTTTAGCATCAATTCTTTTATCTCCAATAGGGCATTATATGTCGCATAGAGTTTCCTAGTCTGCTGAAGCTTTTCCTGTTTACAATAAGAGAGTGAACAGAAGCTATAGAGTCGATTAAACCCACAAGATTTGCAACCCATGAAACAACTTCAGAAAAACAATAGCCGAATATCAAATAATCACTCGTCCAAACCTGGATAGACAGATTCAGCTCTGAGAATCTTCTTTCATACCTGCAGAAAGAGAGTAACATAATGGACCTAGAACTCCAGACTAACATGCAATAAACTTTAAACAGAAGGGAACAATCAGCAAGCTTAAAAACTCCAAGAAGTATTGCATTCCTAACACCTCAAGTCGAAGCACATGATCATTCCATATCTTTAAAAGTAAATCAAATCTAATTTGCTTCAAAGTAGAGGAAATGTGTAAGGTCCAGTGAAATTCATCATTGACATGGAAGAGTTATACTGTTGAGAAGTAAACAAGAAGTGGCATGGAAATGTGCAATTTAGCTGAGGGAAAGGCATACTGAACGAGTTCTGATTGGCATGGCACGTCATCAAGCCGCCGTTTCAGAAATATTATCTCTCTCAGTTTTCCTGCAAGCTCCTATGGAGGAAAGAGAAAAAAAAAATCAGTCCTCGGAAACTGCTGAAAGAAAGAATGAATCTCAATTCCCATAATGTTCCAAACCATTAACTACATGGAATAAACACCTTCTTGGCGAGTGTCAAACGATTTAAAGATTCAACCAAATACTCATTCAAATCATCCTCAAGACTATCGCTGTTGAATCCCTTGACGTCTTTCTCCTCCAAATGAACAACCACAGCTTCTAAAGCAGAACGTTGTGCCTCACAATTAGACATGAACTCAGATTCTTGTGTCTTTAATACCTGTGATTACCTCCAACTATGAGTTTCAACATCAGTCATCAAACAAAATGATACATCTTTCACTATTAAAAGAATCGGCCAGGACACAGTACAAAAGGAGTATGAACAAATGAGAGTTGTATCTGGCTGTTCGAATGAATCTCAGTATTGAAACAATAACAACAACAAAAAAGAAAGCATTCAGAAACATACAGACAATAAAAGTATTTACCTTCAATGCTTTCAAAAGGGTTACCAACTTCTCGACCACAACATCGTCACCCTTAGCTCTAAGTCTTTCGCGTAACTGTTGCAACTCATTCTGAACGCTGCATTTTCTCTGATTCTGAAAACGTAACCTCGCAACAAAGGAACATTATGTATCACTGTCTGATTTCTAACACCGTTTCGTCGTTCTTTGTATTACCAGAAAATGGGAATCATGGGAGAAATCAAATTGCACAAATGAGAAGATCAAACAGACCTGTTCGTTCACTTTGTCGCTCAGTTCTCTCACCGACGTCTTCAAAATGTTCATCTTTTCCTCAAGCTGCCCAAGGGAACGTTCATCGTCGCATGAAGGATATACCTGTGGTTCTAGATTCCATCAGAATCGGCCAAACACAAACAGATGGATCGATTATCGAAATCCATAGGTCAAGAATCGACGAAAATCCACCATGATATCATAAAAATCCGGAGAAACGGTAAGATCGTTCTCCGAATCAGGACTTGAAGATTCAAATTACCGATAAGGAAGTTTAACTCAAAAGAAAAGAAAAGCAAGTTGAACGAAGCTATAGAGCTAACCTCGTCTCTACTATTCTCTTCGTCTACCATTATCCGATGACCCACTCTTAAACTCCTCAGTCACCAAGATCTGCGAGACTTCCTCGTCGGAAAATATGGACTTTCCGGTGATCCAAACGGCGAGGATAAGAAAGATCTTTGAATCCGTTTACGTCGTCGAGCTTCGCCGGTGACACGTGGACCTCGAGTAACGAGCTTAGGCATCGTATTTAAAGGTATTGGGCCTTATTGGGCCTTACATATCAACTGTTCATAAATGTGGGATGAATAAAAATATTAATCGAGTAAATTAGTAAGAAAATTTGGTTCGGTTATTTTGGTTATTAAATGAATGAAATAAGGGTATTTCGTTTATTAACCAAACTGAATTAAATAATCGATTGATTATTATTTTTTAAAATTCGAAATAATCGAATTGAATCGAATCAATTAAAATTTAATAACCGTTGGTTATAAATTCTCAAAATTCGAAATAATCAAACTCAAACCTAATCTTTTATACATCTCATTTGTATTTCTAATTTAATTATTGTTTTATTATTTTTTTAACTTATTGTTTTATGTTTTTCAAAATTTGTATGATATAAATATTTGAAGAGTGATTTATTTACGTAATATTTTTATAACCAAATCGAATTGAATCTTTATTTGTTTATAATTTGGTTATACTTTTAAATAGATAAAAGTGAACCGAATTAAATTAATTAACCGTTTGACTGTAAATTTTATAACCTAAAATAACCGAACCCGAATTATCCATAACCGACTAATTCGAACCGAACCGTTCTCACCCCTCTAAGGAATGATGATGATGATTAATGCATTAATTAGCAATTCTGAAAATGATTAACTCGCTTACAGCTTTAACAATTTTATCTTATCCCAAATTATTATCTAATATTATTTTCTAACCGGTTTTCTATTACCAAAGAATAAGAAGTCTCGGTTATGGACAAGCAAGGACGTGCACTGAAAGCACACAGTGAAAGTTAAACCGGAAACAACCGGATACGACATAACCAACCCAAACTGAAGTTAACCTAACCAAGGAGAATGCCTCACTACATTAAGCATACACACACAGTACAAGGTTTCAGAACATGAACCAAGAAAAAAGACCACTACAACAACAGCCACGAACTCCTCCGATCCCAGATTTCTCAGATCAGACGAAGAAAACTTTCATGACCCGATGATGAACACGAGAAAATAATCTGAGATCGAGAAAAAAAGAACATTAAAAAGAAAGAGAGAAACAGAATCAACATGAGGGTGCTTACAACAAAATGGTTCTTCAGTTTTGTGTCAAGTCTTTTTGCCTTGTCTTGTCGGTTCATCACTTCCATAGCTTAACTAACTTGTCGTGGCTTGCAGAAGCGACCAGTCCTGTCGCAGTGGACACAGCCAAAGCTGCAATGAGCCCATCGTGTGCTGGTAAAGCCATGGTCTTGTTCTCCGACATGTTCCATAGTTCCAAAGACTGAATCACACGAGTTATCAGGCTCGGTCGGAGTATATCGAGTGGGAAAAAGTGCAGAAGGCTAAAAATCCGTAAAGGGGTATGATTCTGTTTTTCATCTGAAATATCGTGCTTGGAGATGGTGATATAACTTTAGAACAGATCTTGAGTAAGTTCTGAGTTCATGAGTGATAATAGTATAAAGTTACCTGGTAACAGCCAATCACAAGTAACGATGGGTAAGCTGGATGGAAAACACAGGATTGGAACTTGTTTCCATTACAGCTTAGCTCGTGAACACATTCCCCTTCGGTACCTGACCCGAGCGACCAGACTCGTACTGAATCTTCACTCACCGATGCAAGAAAATCTCCAGAAGGATCCCAGCAAACGGAGTGTATCGGATTACTATGGCCCTGTACACATAACCACATTGGCATGATTTCTACCAGTAAAGCAGACTGTGTGCTATATAGATGAAGTTGACAAAAAAAATGAATACCCTAAACATAAGGCATTTATCTCCTAAACGGTTTAAGAGAATAATCAGCAGAGTATCTATGTCACAACAAGAATTGATTTCTCAGACAGTATAGTGTCTTCTTTCATACAAGAACGGCGTCCCAAAACGTACAAGCAATGACCTGAATCTTCCTCTCTTATTAGTTCATCACACAACATATCTATGTCACGACAAGAATAGATTTAAAAAAAAAACTTGTGGATAAAGGAAGATATAGGGGAAAAAATCTCAGAGCTTGGAATCCAACCTGTAACGAGTGTCGACAAGCCTGAGTTTCAACGTCCAGTACGGATACAACATTCTCGGCCCCTGCCACTAGAAACCTCCCAAGACGGGGCTGAAACCTCATTTGGGTAGTACCACCCTGCAAACACAAGGCAGAGTAAATGTATCAGTATGCTAATTAACAAGGATTTTTATTGTAAGCTATTTGTTTCAATGTTTTTTGAAAACGGTTTAGGGTTTGAAGCCAAAATCCACCTTGAATACTCTCGTGCAACTTCCGTTGTTGATACTCCAGTACCTTATTTCACCATCTCCGTCACAGGAACATATAAGATCGTCCTTGTTGGGGTGAAAGTCTAGTGACATAACCGTAGAAGAATGTCCCATGAAAGTACGGAGCGAATAACCTTTCTGCAAGTAGATTCAGAAACAGCCCTCCAAAGAGATCACTGCTGAGAAATGGTTTTAACGAACCAACATATTTGTACATAGAGATATAACAATACAGCAAAACCTGGGTTTCACTTACATTATCAGCATCCCAAACCCTTACAGTTTTGTCATATGAAGAAGTTGCAAGACGAGGCAAGTTTGGGCTAAAACGAACATCCGTGATTAAAAACAAGTGCTCCTCGAGGGTAGTTTTCGGCTTCATTGTATCCGTGTACCACAATACAGCCTGGACAACAATACAATTAAGAACAAAATACTTCACTACAAATCATATTGATATGATCCTGGAGGGGTGTATCAAGAAACTCACAATCAATCATGATCAATAATTGTCGGTGTTGTACAGATTGAACGCTACATAGCGATTTGGTAATAACTTTGAACTCCAATGTCCAAACGATGTGATTCCAGTTGGAAATGAACCTTAATTCACTAAAGGTTTGATCTAGAGTAGTTGAGATCTAACGGAGAAAGCTTCAGTCCTGAGGAGAGGACGCAATTCACGGTTCAGTCCTGGCAATTCAGATTGAGCAAGTCATCTTGTTTCATCAATAACTTTTGATTGGAGACTCCGATCGCTTTGCCGTTTGAAGCTGCATAAACTAGACTGAGTTTTCTTTGAGTGTCACTTCATGAGTTTGAGTTTTTAGCTCATGGTTTTCTTTTTGTAACATTTGAAGTTATCGAATGGAATGATTTCGTTCGTGACATTCAATCCAACGTATCAAACGGACAGTGATAACCGTTTGTGGCGTCTGCCTTATACCAAGATTTGTAATCACGGCGTTAGGTCTAGGTAGCAGTGGTCTTTTAAACTTGTGACAAAGTTTATTCCTACACGTTGGTTAGAGGTCGCTGTCTCCACTGCCTAATTATAGAATTTTGATCTAGGAATCACATCACATATTTTTTAGGGATAATCGCATTTAAATACCCGAACTTTTACAAAAATCCCACAAAAATATTCAAACTATAAAATTGTCATATAAATACCTGAACTTTTCATAACTCCCACATAAATACCCAGACTTTTAAATTTTTTCCAAATCAACCACTCATCCGTTAACGGCGTTAAACGTTACTGTTCACTCGACAAAAAACTGCTGACTCAGCAATGACTCAGCAAAAAAAACCCGCTGACTCAGCAAAAAGTGTTGACTCAGCAAAAAAATATTATTAAATATTCAAATTTTTATTTACATATATTTAAATTAATATATACATATAAATTCACACATATATATATATATATACAAATATATATTAAAAAAATTATTTATAATTAATAAAATACATATATACAATTAATATATATAATTATAATTAGTTATATATACAAAATATACATATACAACTAATTAGGGATTTGTATATAATTATAATTATATATATTAGTTGTATATGTTATTTTAATATATATGCATTAGTAATGATATATATATATATTGTAGTTATGTGTATATGTATTTTATTAATTCTAAATAATTTTTTTTAATATATATATTTGTATATATATATATGTGAATTTATATGTATATATTAATTTAAATATATGTAGATAAAAATTTGAATATTTAATAATATTTTTTTGCTGAGTCAGCACTTTTTTTGCTGAGTCAGCACTTTTTTGCTGAGTCATTGCTGAGTCAGCAGTTTTTTGTCGAATGAACAGTAACGTTTAACGACGTTAACGGATGAGTGGTTGATTTGGAAAAAAATTTAAAAGTCTGGGTATTTATGTGGGAGTTATGAAAAGTTCAGGTATTTATATGACAATTTTATAGTTCGGGTATTTATGTGGGATTTTTGTAAAAGTTCAGGTATTTAAATGCGATTATCCCTATATCGATTATAAAACTTATATTTCAAATCAAAATAACATAATACATATAATTAATTTATGTCATCATCATCATCACTAAATTATGAAAAATAATTAACAAAAGATTTAATATACTTCGCAAACTATATCACCCCATTGATTTATATTCTTAAAAATATTTTAAAACTTTTAAAAGGAGATAATCTACGATTTTCAGTTTTATATATCCAAATATATTTTTATTAGAAAGTAACTTAGAAATATATCTCTGGTATAATGATTTTAAAAATCATTAAGTTTTATAATAAAAATTATTTAAATATAATGAATAAATTTTGTAACGTTTTTCTTTATTAATGATAAGAATAATGTTTTTTTTAATAGTTCGGGTATTTATGTGGGATTTTTGTAAAAGTTCGGGTATTTAAATGCGATTATCCCTATTTTTTATTCACTGCTTAAAATGGATCTCCTACTAATAAGCTGATTCGGGTAATTATCAGTTAAGCTGGTAATTTAGCTCACCTTCTTGTCATGCCCACCACTAGCAAGTAGTTTTCCATCCGATGAGAAGTGGCAGCAAGTAACTTTGTTTGTGCTTGCACGAACTGAATTCATCTCTGTAAATGAGAAACCTGGTTACAGAGAGAAAACTAATGATTTCATCAGAGGGTTCTTCGTAGGTTAGAAGACCTTATCAATCATTACAATAGAATTACAAAAATGTCACAAATTATACAAAAAAAAAATGAAGATTTTAAACCGAAACATATACTACGAAAGAAAAAAGTGCACTAGGAATCCTCGTAGAATTTATTTGATTAAGGCTTCTGGTACACACCTTTACTAACGTCCATGCACCGTCCAACAGTATCACGTGGATCACCATCCTCATGGGATAAGAAAGATTCAACATTGTCGTCAAGAGATCCATCTTCAACAAAACGATCCATATCGGCCTGCAAATTGCCAATATTACAGTGTTTCTTCATATCCGCATAATCAAGAGACTCATCTTTAAAGGCTTTTAGCAACCCACCAACTGATTTGATGGCGATGTAAGGGTCCCAGTTCCATCGGTGCCAAACATCATCATTGATTTGGAGGAACTACAGTTGTGTGGAAGATTAGCCACAGACATCACATCTCCCGGGGTATGAGTCGAAGGTGTAGAAGGTGCTGAGCTAGGTGATGGTCCAGCAGTGTTAGCCGTTCCAGAGCTATTGGCAGGCCCGGAAGATGATACTGGTTGCTTTCTCTTTCTCCCAGTCTGGTTTTTCAAAACCTTAAATTGAATACATCACTCATATTAGGAACCTAACCTATTCTAATATTTTGGATCAGTGTATAGAAGGAGGAGCAAAGGTGCTCAGTTTAACCAGACAGAGTCACGATGAAACAGAATTATCAGATTGGAACCCGGGAAAGAAAAAGGAAAATTCTTGATATCGTAGATATACACTCATGTACATATGACGTCAAAAACAAGAAAACAAGCAGACCTGGTCATTTCCTCTGAAAGAGTTTGACATGTTGCCATCCATGGTAACACTACCAGCACCTCCCATTTTATCTTGCTGATGAAGATTGTGATTTGAACTCTGTGAATTCTGATTCAAAAGGGCATGCTGCTGAAGTGGCTGTGGCTGTGGCTGTGGCAGATTCCCACTGCTCTGCTGTTGCTGTTGCCGCTGCTGCTGTTGCTGCTGGTGCAACAGAGCCATCTTTAACTGCAAATTGTAAACAATTTTAAAGTTCAGAGCAAAAGGTCACAAAGTTTTTAAAAAAGAGGCTAAAGCATCTTCTTCCTATTCCATTGAACAAAATGCTGCAGCTGATTTGAAACTTAGCTTTTCTTCATTATGTCAAACGACGATAAATCAATTCTCGGAGGACACCATTTCCTAAATTCCAACTTTTATGCATTCTTGCACAAACTTGAGGTACCCAGTAGGGATTTTAAAGAAAATAGCATTTCCGGACAAAGTCAACCTTCAGTAACATATCGGTGTCTCCACGAGGCAAAAGTGGGCCACCGGGCTGTAAAGGGGATGCAACATTAGGTAAAACATTTCCAACAGAACCCCCAAGGCCATCCTTCCCAAGGCTCATACTTCGGTTGTTCAGTAACATTTTCAGTCTTCCGTTCTCTTCACTGACAGATTGTGAACTGAAATTCTGCTGAGCAAGCATGAGCTGTTGCTGATGTTGTGGGGTTAACATATGAAGTTGGTGGAAGGTCTGAGGAGACTGCATAAACGGTTTTTGCTGCTGAAGAAGACCCGAACGAAGCTGATCAAATCCCTAACCATGAATCCAAAAAAAGAGCTTAGAAGAAATTGTTTTGAGACAAGAGTTCGGTAAACCAGAAAAATGAATGTCTAATGTAAAGCTTACAGCCAGAGGCCAGCCTTTAAGTGTAAGGTTGTTGTTGCCTTGATTTGAACCTGAAACAGGAAATAAGCATTAATAAAAGTGAATTTCTGGGGAGACTGCTTGTGCGCCAGAGTATTTTGATCACAATTCAAAGAATTCTGACAAAACAAAAATCAATGTCCTAAGCAGAGGACCAACTCAGCAAAGAATACCAGGAATTCCAAGCAACGACTCATCTGGAACAGCAGTTCTAGGAGTGAGAACTTGATTGATCTCGCTTTTTATATCCTGCATCCAAACAACCAACAACTGTTACATAACAGAAAAGCAAAAAAACAAGTCGAGAGTAACCACGGTTCACAATATCACACCGCTGTAGAGCCAGGAAGCTGTTGATTCCGAGCTTGAACCTGTGGAGACATTCCACCACTTGTACAATGCAACACTTGCCTGAGATTTTACAAGTGAAATGGCATAAGTACATGCCTGGAACAGTACAGAAGAAAATGGGATAATGAAGGTAAGAAGTACGAGAAAAACACCCTGAAGGTTGTCCAGAAGATGCACCAGACTTCAACATAGATGCATGATTTGGACCCAACAGTTGTCCAACATTCTCACCTAATCGCTGTTTCCGATGAGTTCAAATAATATCATAAGACAAACTAAGCTGTAATATCATAACACAAATAATATCATAGGACATGACAGACACCATAGCCTAATTGCTATTTACCTTCATAGCAGCCTCATCCATAGAATCCCTCTGAAGCGGCATTTTGTTGACCATTTCATCATACACCTTGTTGGCTAAAGAACCAGTAGTCACAGGATTTTGCCGCATAATTGTGTCGTTATTACCAACAACCCCATTTGCTGACCCGTTCACGAGGTGGGCCCCGTCTCTCCTCTGCTGCTGCTGCTGTTGTGGTTGTTGCTGCTGTTGAGGAGGCTGATTCTGTTGCCGTTGTTGTTGTTGTTGTTGCTGCTGCTGTGCACGTTGTAACAAAAGCTGTTGCATTTGTTGTTGCTGCTGTTGCTGTGAGAGCTGTGGGTGTTGAGGTTGCTGCAATTGTTGCTCCCGTGCTTTCATCATCTGTGTCTAAAAAGTTTGAGATGGTTTTGATACCGATCACAAAAAGAATGTCACTAGATTTTATGAACTTTTTCTTAAATCAAAACAGAGTCCACCTTTCTTTCTGTCATTACCAAAAACCTACTAAATTCTCTGTTTTTCTTATGTAAAGAACGAAAATATACCATTGGCTAAACAGTCTCATATAGAAACCAAATGTGAATCATAGCTGAAGAACTAAAGTATTATCATATAGATTTTGGACAACTTCCTCATTTAGATTACAACTCCTGTCTTTTAACGAGGATGAACAGGAAGAACGCGTTTTAAACATAAGCAAGGTAACTAGACTAGCTAAGTACCGACCAATTGCATGGGTGTGACTACATATTTATGTTTCTATTTTTCGTTTTTGGTTGAAATATTTTACGGTAAAAATGACAAAAGATTACAATGATTTAGAAGGTAGATATAAATCGATCGTGAACACTTACGAAAAACACAAAAGTGAAAGAAACATAACATCCAAATGCAAAAACTTCATTTTCCAAAAATTATCTGCTCACGATATCATATCCAGCCCCTACATAAATTCCTTGCCATTAGTCATCTCTTCAAAACTAGAGCACTTTTTACACTAAATAGATTCAAAACCATGATTAAAAAAATGGACGAAACATCCAAAACTTCCTCATGTAGACTTATACTGTCTTTCACTGCAGAGAACAGGAAGACGGCAGCTGACACAGGCAAGCAAGTAGATAACTATGTTATATAGGTTGCATATACAAATGGGTTACTTAGGGTAAACAAAGTAACAAACCTCAATGTATGAAGCAGCAACCTCAGAGTGTTTTTCGTTGGTCCTAGCAATAAACATATCCCAGAAGACAGACCACCATTCAAACAGAAAGCCTCCAGGAGCGTCGATAGCTAAAAAAACCGGTTCCAAAAAACCAGAACCAAACAATAAGGACATGGAATTATATTAGGACAAAGGAGAACCAAGAATCCTTGGCAGGTGAAGTGTTACTTGCAATCATTATCAATCAGCTCAAGTAGATTTTGTTTGCTTACCCACTGGATCTGAGGACACTTTTCCTTCTGCTTGGAAAGCCTGAGCTGTAGCTTTTAAATCCCTTTTCACCAAATAATCATGGATATATACATCTAACCTGATATATAAAAATTTCCCACAAAGAACATTTCAATCACTGCAAGATAGGTATTAGAATCAGATAAACCAAATTGAAGTTCTTGAAACTATGAACATTACTGATGACCTGTAGGACTTTTTCCAGCGCAAGTAGTAGCTACAGCCAAACAGACAATCGCCAAGCAATCATCATCAAATTAACAAATAAAAAATCCAAATTCAGAAACTTTTTAAACCTCAGAAGGGATTAAACCCTATGCAAGACATAATCATGAACAGACTCCAAAATCCTAATTCTATAATCAGGAACTAGCATGATAGAGCCCAGAGTCAACAATTTCATACCTAAAAAAAACTAAAGCCGGGACAAGAAAACAAGAGACCTGATACGACCACTGTTCAGCTAGAACTCGGGGTGACCAAGGCCAGAAATTTCAAGCCTCAAAGAATGTCAGACATACCAAAGAACTAATCTTTTGGACAGGAACAAAGAAAACACGCAAAACCTGACAAAACCCAGGAATACCCACAACCAAAATCAAGCAGAAACAAGATTCTTGAACTGAAAATCAGAAATTGCGTGAAGTACCACAATCCCTAATGGCGAAACAAGCAAGCAAGAACGTTAGAGAAAAAGGCTAATGCTAAAGAAAGAAATTGATTAAAAAAAGTTCATAAAATAGCAGATTAGAGAAACTTTGAACTCGAGAAAAAAGGATGAAACAGCGAATGCATTATAAAACTTGAAGTCGAGAAACAAACTCGGATGCACCCAGAATCCAAACCAACCAGAGATGAACATTTAACATCACAATACAGTAAAAAAAAATAGGGGAGGGGGGGGGGACAAATTCAAACTGTAAATTAGCAGATTAGAGAAAAGAACATAGCTGAACTCACATTTTATCTGCTTCCCAGTTGGTCTGAGACATTTTTTCCTTCTTTTGTTGTTCTTCAACAAAAATACCCCACAGACAGTTGCTTATATTGTCAGATTCCCATGTACTTGTGATATATTACATCACTGCTTTCTCTTCCCATTGAAAATTATTGCGTAATAGAAACGAAATTAGCGATTTTTCCCCTTATTTCCCAGAAAATGACGAGATTAGTACTTGAAATTAGCTAAGGGGAGGCAAAAAAGTGGTAGATGGAGAGAGATGCAGTGTTAGAGAGAGAAGATTCAAGAGAAACACTGTAAAAGGGAACAGAAGAAGCATTACAGCCTCTGGTTTTGGTAACAGATAAATAAAAAAGAGCTAAAATCCCAGAAAAACCATTCAACTTTTTAATTTTGACAGCATAAAAACATTAAATTTTTTAATTTATATAAAATAATAAATATAATATTCGAGGATTATCAAATTAAACAATCGAATTGATATAAAGTATAAACGTGGCCTAAAAATAATTTCACGCCATATCAGATCGATTATTTAATTTAACATCTACTCAATAGTTTAGCTATTATTTTGGACAATTTAAAAAGTTTGATTTTTTTTTTCTAAAAGAATTTCCAATTTTATTTTATCAAAATTAAAAAATTGAGTTTTCCCTAAAAAAATGTAAGGAAAGATTGAAATTTTAACATTTTATTATTTTAGTTGAAATGAATGAACAGATAAAACTGGAAAAAAAATTATTTGAGAAAGAAATGAAAACCAAACGTACACGAATACTTTTACTGTTTTACATATCTGCTTTATAAATTTCTATTATGAGAAGAAACGTGTTTTGTGCTTCTTTTTTTATTATTTTTATTTAGCTTATTTACTGAATTTGATTTCTGTATTTAAATTTTAAACTCTCTTCTATAGTTTTTTTTTGTTGGCGGAGTTGCATAAGTGAGAAGATATTATGGCGATGGCTTTGGAACGACATTATATCAAAAATAATCTTAATTTGCTATTTATACTTCAAGACATATCCTTGTAATCATATGACCAATGTGAGCGAAATATAGTATGGTCACATTTTGATTTTATCGATTATAACGTTAAATTTATGGTGAGCATAATAATTCATTATGTTCATACCTCGTATATATTACTAATCATTTGATTAAAACATCATAAATTTAATATTATGAACAATGAGATCAATATGTGACCACACTATATTTCGGTCATATTGGTCACATAGTCATAAGAGTAGGTCTTTAAGTAGAAATAGCAAAGTAAGAGTATTTTTTATAATGCCCATTTGGAGCACTAATTTACATAAAAGCCCTCATATTTTATGAATTTACATTATCCACCACAACTTTTTAAAGTACTTTTCGTCATGTATGACAAAAATAACCTTTTAAAGCGCACCAATGGACATAAACACCCTTCTCGGTTCACATTATTACATATTAATCTTATGATTAGTGAAAATAATAAAGTACTAATCATTTATTCGACCAAAAATAACTTTATTCTTAAAAATGTTTTTATTTTTATTTTTCATATATGTTTAGACTCAACTTGTAGCTGATATCGGTAAATAATCGAGATTGCAGATCATGCAAGTGGATGGACTGTTTGTATTACTTTTCATTACTTCGGGGATTCACACTTTTTTTATATCTAACCTTGGACGTGTGTACAGATTACCATATATAGCGTTTTTACTTTGTAATCACACAATTTCACAGATTAATATACGAATAATCTTTTAAACACACACACACACATATATATATATATATATATATATATAACCACACATATGCACATATGCACATTTCGTAATACACCACAAACATGTGTATACCTTTCGTTAAAAAGAGTTTATTTTAAAAATATATATACAACTACATAATTTAGAAAATGATATAGATATCATTTTTATTTATTTTAAGATAATTATGTAGTTTTTGTTTAAAATTTTTAGTTTTTAAAAATATTATTTTACATACCACCTCATCTTGAACCAAATAAAATTTGAAGATTATTTTTTAAAATAAAATACATATTTGATGGTTTAACATAATTAATTGAAAATAGATGGATTTTAAAAAAAATAAAAATTATAAGTATTTAATTTATCCCAAAAAATCATGTTTAATGCATGCACATCACATCAACGCACTTGTCATTAAAAACCCCAATAATTTTCCAATTCTAAATATATATATAGGGCGTGACTGATAGACACGCAATCGCAATCGCAGCGATTGTGGACGATTGCGATATGTTTATTGACGATTCCGGGCGATTGGTAGTGAATGGTAGAAACATGGGAATCGACGGAGCGTGATAATCCAACCGCGTCGTGGTTGCCATGATTTCTCAACTACAACAGTCACATTTCCACAAACCACATCCAAAAATGGGATGAATTTTAAAGGGTTTGTTCAGATTTTTTCAGCCTCTAGATAAACCTTGAAAAAACGGAGTATATATACATCAGGTGACGAATGATACAACAAAAAAAATATAACATAAAATCAGGATTTTATAAATTTACCTCGATTTTGCTTTTCCACCAATCATAAGAGACTTGAAGGGTTCCAATAACAGGATCAAATCCAAGACCAGTCGCTCCATGAGTGATCTTTCTATAGATGTAATAGTCTCTCTTCAAAGTGTCAAATCTATTCTTAAATTTACCATAGTTCAAAGTCATCCCAAATATTTTGTTAAATTCTCTAGCAATGTTCGTCTTTCCTACTTCATTTAGATTTTTCTCTTTTGTATGTCCGGCTTCTTTTCTCTAATATATAGAGATCTAATATAACACACATCTGATCCAACTAAATGATTTTCTAAAAATTATAAAGTATAAATCACCATCACAATAAGTTGGAGTTTAGAGAACATAATCAATGTATATGTGTAAATTTTGGTTTAAAGTTGTATTCATTTTTTTATGATGTTCATTTCCACTTCCTGATGTCATATTTATACGCCAATAGATTTCTCAAATCTGTAAGAAAAAATCAGATCCATTAAAATTATTACACGAGGAACCTGTAAACCAAATTTACTTTTTGTTATTAAAAATCCATACACAAACAATTTGAAGGTAAAAAAATATTTTGTATCGAGACTTTGGAGAGTTGAACCCCAAAGCTCACACGTCGCCATTAGAAATCCCATCAAATGGGAACAATATGTTGGGTTTCGATACGGATTCCTAGCATGCGATCATATCGATCTAGGGTTTGGTTTACTAGGTTTCATGCAGCGGAAGGATAATCTAAACCTAGTCAAACGTCACACGCAACCAAAATCATCCGTAAAACCCCGTTTAATCGTGTATATCACCGTAGGAATCGAATACTTACCTCTTTCCTGAAGATCTGAAAGTAGCAATCGATCCAGGGTCTGTTTTAATCACCAAGAGCTGAAAGTACAGCTCCTCTACACGTATCCACACCGACGAGAAGGATTCCAAACGCTTTTGGAACTGATCTGCTAGGATCTGTGAAGTGAATAGGGTTTTCAAGACTTGAGATCGAATCCCAGGAACTAGAACCTCAAAAGAAACGATTTTCTTGTGTTCTAGATCTGTCTTAGGGTTCTGTAAGTCAAGTTCTCTACTTAGGACGGCGTCCAACACCTCCTTATAAGTTAGAAACCCTAATCCTTGTGAAAAGAGACTTTTTCCGAGTATTGACTCGGTCCGAGTCAGAACTCTGACTCGGTCGAGTCATAACGAATCAGCCCAAGCCCATTGTCAACTCTTGACTCGGCCCATTTAGTATTGACTCGGTCCGAGTCAAAACTTTGACTCGACCGAGTCAAAACATCAGCCAAGCCCAAAACACTTTCTGGGCTTCAGACTCGGTCCGAGTTAGAAGGCTGAAAACGTCCCGACACTCTGATTTGATCCGAAAACCATTTTTTTTTTCGACCAAATCCAAGTCTTCCTTTCCGAAACTTCACATATAAGTCCATCCCTAATGGTGTGGGCCCCTGTAGGCCCATTCGCAGTGGCAGCGGCCTCGAGAACCATTCCCGATCTACAAGTCATGGTTAGCCTCTAGCAAGACGCCATGACCACCCACGTTGAATTGAGTCAGAGGTGATCTAACCAAGGCAATAACAGCTCGAGTTCTGATCCTTTATCTCACGATATCATAAGTTGAACAAGGGCATGGTGTGAGCCACCCTTCAAGTTCAACCGCTTTCTCGTCTTGGCAAATCAACTAATAAAATAGATGCAACTTCATCTATAGCGTGGCCACGCATTTTCATAGTCCGACTTCCACGAGAGGGCCCAGCGATATCTCTCCTATTGAGGAGGTGATAAGTCCCATATTGCATGTCTATTATCTCCATATGATTCGTGAACGTATCTGATCAACGCCATTATAATCATCCGGTTAAAGACGACGTTTGACGCAGTCAAGACACGCCACTCCTCATATCAGATACTCTAGACATCTCAGGTCTGAGGATCCAAGAACAAACCGCTTTATGAGATTCAAGTCATGACTCTGTCCATGTGACAATCTCATACGGGTCATCCAGTCACTCGTTCACAACGAGAACCCATGATTGTGATCTACATCCAATGCATTGATCACACCTCATGCTAGTCTTGATTCAACATTGTTCCCACAATATTGACTGACTAGGGAGTTTAGAATCATTCGCTAATGATTCAAGGATGCCGAAATATAACAAACATGCCAATCATATAACGGGAATGTAACGCATTCATAAACCAATGAATCAATACAAAGTCAAAATGTCATACCACGGATCATCCTAGAGCATTACAACCAACAAAAACAAGTCCAGAAGGAAGATGCAAATCGTAAACGCCAAAGCACAATTCTATAAAACATCGTAGGTGTCGGGAATTACGGGTTATGTAAGGATCGCTTCTACGGATGTATCTTTGTAACTAGAGTTATGATTCGGGAAATTCAAGTTCTTGCTATAGAGGATTACTCTCTCGAGTCTCACCTCTCTTCCTAAGAGTTCAACCTACCGATCTCTCGATTCTAAATAGATTGAAACTCTTAAGAGCATTAAATCCACCATCATGATTCCTAGATGTTCATTCATTTCTCAATGCAATGTTCATCTATTCAAATGAAAGAGTTCCAAACTTAGTTCCATATCTCTGTTTCGCGAGCCTGCTGCCACTGCGAATGGGCCTACAGGGTCACACACCATTAGGGATGGACTTATATGTGAAGTTTCAGAAAGGAAGACTTAGATTTGGTCGGAAAAACCGTTTTCGGATCAAATCAGAGTGTCAGGACGTTTTCAGCCTTC